CTTATATTCCACTGATATTTTTTCCCGCTTATTTCAAAGATTAGTTGGCCATATGTTTGTGGGTCCATTTCTGTCTCTTATTCGTTCCACTGATCTGAGTGTCTGTTCTTGTGCTGGGCACCATACTGTCTTCATTGATTGTAGTATAGTCGAAGTCCAGGATTATGATGCCTTGCTTTGCTTTTTTCAAGATTGCTTTGTTATTTGGGGGGTATTTTGATCTCCATACAAGTTTTAGGGATTATTTGTTCTAGCTCTGTGAAGAATGTGCTGGTGTTACTTGAAATATGTAGATTGCTTGGGTAGTATTGACATTTTTAACAATATTTGTTCTTCCCATCCAGCAGTATGGAATGATCTTTTTCCATTTTTTTGTGACTTCTTCTTCAATTTTCTTTCATATTCCTTCTATAGTTTTCAGTGTATAGATTTTCTCAACTAGTTAGATTTATTCTAGGTATTTTGGTGGATTTTCAAACTCTGTAAAATGGGATCTATTCCTTGATTTCTCTTTTCTGTCGCTTTCATTGTTATAGTGTATAGGAATGCATGTATTTCTGTGCATTGCTTTATATCCTGCAACTTTGCTGAATTCATGAATCACCAATTTTAGAAGATTTTTGCAGCATCTTTGGGTTTTTCCATATAAAGTATCATGTCATTCAAGTAAGAGTGAAAAAGTTTGACCTCCCTCCCACACAATTTGGATGCTTTTAAGTTTCTTTGTGTTGTCTGATTGCAGAGTGTCTCCAACAATACTATGCTGAATGTCAGCAGAGAGGCGATCCCTTGGTTCCTGTTCTGACCTTATAAGGAAAGTTCTGGGGTTTTCCCCATTGAGGATAATATTTGGTACTTGGGTCATTCATAAATGGCTTTAAGGACTTGAGGTATACTCCTTCTATCCCACTTCTTGAGTGTGTGGTTTTTATCAGGAAGGATGTTGGTCAAATGCTTTCTCTGCATCTATTGAGAGGATCATATGGTTCTTGTCCTTTCTTTTATTGATGTGATGAATCATGCTGTTTTGTGGATATTAAACCATCCCTGCATCCCTGGTATAAATCACTTGGTTGTGGTAAATAATTTTTTTTAATGTATTGTTGGGACCATTACAATATCTGTTGAGGATTTTTGCATCCATGTACATCAGGGGAAATTAATTATAGTTCTCCTTTAGTCTCTGTCTGGTTTGGAATCAAGGTAATGCTATTTCATAGAAAGAGTTTGGAAAGTTCCATTTCTATTTTTTGGAACAGTTTGGAGATTAGGTGTTAATTTTTCCTTAAATGCTTGTGAATTTCCCAAAGCCACATACACCTGCCCTGGACTCTTGTTTTTTTGGGAAATTTCTTGATTACTAATTCGGGCTCTTTTTACTGGTTTTTCTGGCTGGTCTGTTCAAATTTATTTCTTCCTGTTTGCTTTGGTAGGCATATGTCGAATTTGTCCATTTTCTTCCAGATTGCCCATTTTATTACAGCATATAAATTGCTTCATAATATTCTTTATTGTTTTTGCTTCTGTTGTGTTGCTTGTGATTCTCCTCTTCTTGTTTCATTTTATTTATTTGGGTCCTTTTCCTTTTTTTTCTTTCTGATCAACTGGATACTGATTTATCAATATTGTTAACTTTTCAAAGAACCAGCTTCTACTCTATCTGTTCATTGTTTTTTTTTTTTTTTTTTTAGCATTAATTTCTGCTCTAATCTTTATTATTTCCAGTTCTCTGCTGGTTTTGGGTTTTATTTGCCATTCTTTTTTCCAGCTCCTTGAGGCGAAGTTTAGGGTTGTGTATCTGAGATCTTTCTTCCTTCTTTAGGAAGGCCTGGACATATATTTTCTCCTCCTTATGAGTGCCCTCATGGGCGCCCCAGAGTGGTTTTGGGTTTTGTTATCATTTTCATTGGCTTCCATTTTTTTTTTTTCAACGCTTATTTATTTTGGGACAGGAGAGATATAGTATACCTAATGTGGGAGGGGCAGAGAGAGAGGGAGACACAGAATCAGAAACAGGCTCCAGGTTCTGAGCCATCAGCCCAGAGCCCGAATATCGGCTCGAACTCACGGACCGAAGATCGGTGACTCTGGCTGAAGTCGGATTTAACTTGACTGGCGCCCAGGCTACTCTTCCATATATACTTTTTATTTTAACTTCTCGGCAGGCCTATCTATCCTGTAGGATGCCTCTGCCCCAAGTATTTGCAGGTTACCTTCCAAATTTTTTCTTTTGTGGTTGGATTTTTGAGTTTCATAGCTGCCAGGGTCTGAAAATATGCACGGGCATGATTCTCGACCTTTTTAGTACTTACTTAGGGTTGATTTGGTGTTCCAGTATATGGTCTATTCTGGAGAACGCTCCATGTGCACTGAGAAGACGTATATTCTGTTGCTTTAGGATGAAATGTTCTAAATATATCTAAAGTTAAGTCCATCTGGTCCAGTGTGTCATTCAAAGTTTTCCTTGTTGATTTTTTTGGATTAGGGATGATCTAACCATTGCTGCAGTGGGGGTGCTGGTCTCCCACTCTTATGGTATTACTGTTGAAGAGAGTTTTTATGTTTGTGATTCATTGATTTATATATTTTGTGCCTCTCATCACATGTAACAGCCATAATTGTTAGGGTCTCTTTGGTGGATAGACTTTATGATATAATGCTCTTCTGCATCTCTTTGATACAGTCTTTATTTTAAAGTTCAGATTGTTCATTACAAGTATGGCTACTCTGCTTTTTTTGAATCATTAGCATGGATACAGATGATTCTCCATCCCTTATTTTTCAATTGAAGGTGACTTTGTGGTCTAAAGTGGTCTCTTGTAAACAGCATATAGATGGATCTTGTTTTCTTATCCATTCTGCTACTCTGTAGTTCTTTGGATTGGGAGCATTGAGTCCATTGACGCCTAGAGGGGAAAGATATGAATTCATTGCCATTATGATGCTTGGTAGAGTTGGAGTTTCTGGTGATGTTCTCTGGTCCTTTTCTAATCTTTTGTTGCTTTTGGTTATATATATGTTGCTTTTTGGATATATATATATATATATATATATATATATATATATTCATCTTTCTCCCCTCAGAGAGTCCTCCTTTAAAATTTCTTGCAGGGCTGACAGTGGGCCACAAAGTCCTTCAATTTTCTGTCTCAGAACCTTTTTTTATTCTCTCCTGCTCTATTTCACGACAGTCTTCTGTTGGATAAAATAATTTACGTATATTTTTCTGATCTTGCACACTGAATAATATATCCTCACTCCCTTCTGGCCTGCCAAGTTTCTGTGATAGGATCTGTCGCAAAACCTGATCTGTCTCTCCCCTTGTAGGTTAGGGACTTTTTCCTTGCTGTTTCATGAGTCTCTCCTGCCTGAGTATTTGTAATTTGACAATGATATGCCTTGTTGATTGGTTACATAGAATCTAATAATGGGGTCCGTTCTTCCTGATTTTGATGTCTGTGTCTTTTTCCCTGTTAGGGAGTAAAGCTTTTCGGTATGATTTGTTCACATAACCCTTTTCTACCCTATTTTCTTCTCTGGGACTTAAGGATTCTGATACCTTTTTAATGAATCACTGATGACTCCACTCCACGAATCAGGTTTCCTTTTTGCCTTTAATCTCCTTTATTCTGTTTTGATATTCTATAGATTTGTCCTATATCGCTGATTCTTGTTCGGCTCATCCATCCTACATCATGGTGTATCCATTCATGATTGTGCTTCCTCAGTTATATTTTTATTTATTCTGGCTTATTTTTACTTTTATCTCTGCAGAAAGGGATCTATCATTTTCAATTCAGCTAGTATTTATTATCATCATTCTACCCCATATTCAGACATCTGTTTGTATCTGTGTTGGTTAAATCCCTGACTGTCGTTTCTTCAGTTTTTCTTTTGGGGTGAATTCCTTTGTTTTGTCATTTTGAAGGGAGAAAAGGAATTCACGAGGTAGAAAAATTGAAATTAAAAATAAAATTTAAAAATATTGTAAATTAATTAATTAAAACAGCACACACCCACACACAAAAATTGAATAGATGATGCTAGATCCTTGGTGTGTTTGGCCTCGGTGTTGAAGGTGGTTTGATAGATTAGAGTAAAAAAAAAGGGAGGGGGGAGGGAAGAAAAAAAAAGGAAATCGTTTGAGAATTAGAAAGAATGAATACCCTGAAATAGACTAAAATGAGGTGATGGGCAAAATAGAATTTGAAAAAAAAAACCAAAAGTAGAGAATATAGTAGAAAAAACTTAAAGAAAAATATTTTTACAAAAGGTAACAATATAATCTTTCATTGCATTTAAGAAAGAAAAGAAACAAAAAAGAAAAAAGATAAAAAAAGAAAAAAAGGAAAAAATCGTTTGAAAATTGGAAAAGTGAATGCACTGTAGTAGACTAAAATAAAATGATGGAAGTAGAATAGAATTTGAAAAACTTTACATAACAGCAAGAAATATCGTAATAAAAATTAAGGAAAGATATTTTTAATAAAAATGAAAATAAAAATAAATTTTTTCTCTTCCTGTATTCAAGAAAAAGAAAAGAAGTATAAAAGAGAAGAAGGAAAAAGAAAAAAAAAAGAAAGAAAATTTGAATAGATGAACCTGCTAACAAATTGAAGTAGGACTGAAATTGCTTCATTTTCCCCTGGAAGTCAGTCCCTGTAGCTCTTTATAGTCCATAAATTAAGCCGGCGTTGAGGTTTGTGTTCTCGAAGAGCGAAGTTGGCCCAGTTGGGCGGGGCTCAGTGTAACAGCTCCGGTCTCCACTAGATGGCGCTGCTAGCCTACTGGGGTGGATTGTTGCGGAGCTCCTAAGTGCGTCTGCGCATGCGTGGGAGCGGGGACCATGGCACCACCCAGCCACCCAGTCTGTTCTCTGGGATCAGCAATCGCGCACCCATCCTGTGTCTTCAGCTCTCGTCCACTCCGTGACCAGGCCACAGGCAGTACCTCTCTTCCGAGTTTTGTCTCAGATGCGGCTGTTTTTCCCGGCCCCTTACGTCCAAAGGACTGTGGCTTTGACTCACTGCTGTGGAAGGTCTCGTCCCAGGAAGGTCTCACCGAGGAATGGCCGAATGAGTAATGGCCGATTATTGGCTGCACCCAGAAACACCCGCTGAACCCTGATGCTGCCGGTGCCCCGAGACTGCGGCCAGGTGCCAGCCCGCCTCAGAAAATGTTTGCGAGATAGTGTAGCAGCAGCGTTTAAGGGATTATGGAAAATCACAACACACATCTGGCACCAGGCTTCACCCTCAACAACCTTGCCCCAGCACCAGTGAATGTGGCCGCCTTCGGGGGTCTGCTGGGACCAGGTGGCTTCAACAGTCTCTACCAAATATCCTTCCAGCAGTGGAACCGCTTTTCCCCGTGTGGCCTGAGAACCTCCCGGACCCCATTCTGTTCCTGGGGATTCGCCCTTCCCACCAGAGCACCGCCAGGTATGGAGCTGCGGAGTTGCAGCCTTTGCGCTCCCTTTGTTTACAGTCTTAAGGAATTTAAACCGTCTCCTTTCTCCTTTCTCCCTTTACAGTTTAGTCCCTGCGGCTGTTTCCAATTTTCCACTTTCTCTCCAGCTGCTTTTGAGGAGGGGTGCTTTTCCCGTATTCTCCCCCCTCCCCAGTCTCCGTCTTCTCTCTGCCCGCAAAAGTGGTTCCCTACCTTCCGCAGCTTCTCGCTCCCCAAATTCCTCTCTCTGTGCCTCGTACCTGTTGAATTCTGTGGTTCAGGTTGTGCAGATTGTTGTGTTGATCCTCTAATCAGTTTGCTAGTTGTGTAGGATGGTTCATTGTTGGTCTGGCTGTATTTCATGGACGCGAGACACACAAAAAGCTTCCATGCTGTTCTGCCATCTTGGCTCCTCCCCTCTGGAGGTAAATATATGTGATATCTGAAGTTTTAACATTTGAGCCAAATGAATGAATTTTAAAAGTCTAAAGGCCTGGTTTCTTAAAATTGGAAAGGGAGTTCTAGCTTAAGTCACTTTTCCAAGGAACATAACAATAATTCAGAATGAGAATCCAGGTTTTTGTCATGACTCCTGACTTCTATACTGTGCTCTTCCTACTTTAACTGTAAAAACAAGCACATAGGGATATAATTACTAGCAGGAGGAGAATAAGAGTAGGAAATTATCCAGGATTTTTTCACCTCAACTGAACCAGAGTAACTTCCTTTGATTCACATGTTATTTTCCTTATACTGATTTATTAGAAGAAAGTGTTCTTATGTTAGAAGCAAAGATTGAAATCACTGATTGAATAGATGTGATATTTCTTTGTAGATACAAACTCTGCTTTCTCAGGCATCTTATTTTCTTATCCCATGACCCAGGAAAATAGATGAGAGTCATTTTTTGTGTTCTGTATGTCATCTTTTTTTCCCAAATATTATCCCTGTTTTCCAAGATTTTTAATTAGGCAATCACAAGGTTGTATGTCCAAGCTTTCTATGTAATAAAGTAGTAGTTGAATATTCCACCCGAGATTATAACTATGTCATACTTCCCAATGTAATTTTTTATAACTTAAAAATATGCCTGGATTTTATTCACAGAATGAGCCATAATGTGGTAGGTCTGTATGCACTCCTTCTTGCCCCGCTTCCTACTTCCCAGAATCGCCTCGGTGTAGTTACCCAGGTACTTTGGGGGTACCGCATGGACTTTAGGGATACAAAGAATCTTGGCATCCTTCTTTGAAATGCTGAGGCAGAAGTATAAGCCTCACTTTCTGTGTGGGTGACAGTGGGGGAATGTGGTCCGAATTGCTTCTGGCAGACATTTGGCAATCCTGTTGCAAAGGTGACTTGAGATGAAGCAGATATCCCAGAGAGCAGCACCAAAAGAAAGAGTCACTACTAAGTCCAGCAACTATGGAACTTATCCTATCTCTGGACTTCCTAATCACTGGGGCTCATAAACCTACCATGTTGTTTGTGCTTTCTTGATACACACACACACACACACACACACACACACCAACTCACAGTAACATTAAAGAAAAAAACAGAATGGAATGAAAGCAAACCAGCCAAGGGCATCAATCGTGAGAAAAATTTGATCATGATTAAAGGTAAGAATTAGAGCAAGGACAGCCAGGCTTTGCAAAAGTTGGTCAAATGATAACAAATGCTTATGAAAATAGGCTTTATGATTTTTTTGTCAAAAATTGATAATGATTGGGGCGCCTGGGTGGCTCAGTCAGTTAAGCGGCCGACTTTGGCTCAGGTCATGATCTCGCGGTCCGTGAGTTCAAGCCCCACGTCAGGCTCTGTGCTGACAGCTCAGAGCCTGGAGCCTGTTTCAGATTCTCTGTCTCCCTCTCTCTGACCCTCCCCTGTTCATGCTCTGTCTCTCCCTGTCTAAAAAATAAATAAAACGTTAAAAAATTTTTTTAAAAATTGATAATGATTGTAAGTAGCTTATTAACGTTTCAGAAGTATGCATTAAAGGAGCAACACAATAGCAGTTCCAAAGCTGTTCAGGCAAATGTACCCATTTAGGAGTTCATGTTAGAAGCTTAGTGTCAGTTGTTAACATACGTTGGTCACATCACTGATACTAAATTTAGACGTGAGTTTTTCTTATTTACTGTAAGATGCACTCAGTTAGGGCACAATTCTTTTTTGACTCTATGTGGAAGGTGTCTGAGGCAATTTTGTGGAAGACAAGGAACTCAGATGGTAAATCTAACGTGTCCCAGATGTTATCCACATGGCCAGAAATATTAGGGCAGTGCTTTTACTTGAAAAAATAAATATTGACCTGAGAAAGGCAGTAAAAAGGACAAATACTGTATGAGTCCACTTATATGAGGTACCTAGAGTAGACAAATTGATGGAGACGGAAAGAGCAGAGTTTACCAGAGACTGAGGAGAAGGGACATCGGGGTCACTCTTTAATGGGTGCAGAATTTCTGATTGGGAAGACCAAAAGGTTCTGAAAATGGGTAGTGGAAATTGTTGCACAACATTATGAATGTATTTAATGACACCGGAGTGTGCACTGAAAAATGGCGAAATGGTAAAGTTTACGGTATGTATATTTTACCAAAACAGCCATTGACAGCACACAATTTGGTGTATAAATTCAATTATAAATGCTTCCACTTTCCCCTCCTTCCCCCCAAAGTGAGAGTCTGTGTGAGGTGGCCAGCTGGATGAACAGAAAGTGGGTGGGGGTTAAGAGGGGCCAAGAGAAGCAATGTGTGTATGGATCAGGACATGATTCTCTCTCATCCCCCTTCCCCCCTTTTTTTCTCTTTGTTTTTAAAACTGACTTACTGTGTTACTTAATGTACAAAAATTAATGTCCCTGTCTAACTGACCTAATTTCAAAGCAACTTCATTTTTTAAAAAAGGCACCTGGGTGGCTCAGTCGGTTAAGTGTCTGGCTCAGGTCATGATCTTGTGGTCTGAGTTCGAACCCCACGTCCAGCTCTGTGCTGACAGCTCAGGGCCTGGAGCTTGCTTCAGATTCTGTGTCTCCCTCTCTCTGCCCCTGCCCCCCTCAGTCTCTCTCTCTCTCTCTCTCTCTCTCTCTCACTCTCTCAAAAATAAATACATGTTAGAAAAAACATTTTTTAAAATGCTAGACATCAATATCCAGATCTTAAAATAGAATGTGGTACTTTGTCAATGAATGACCAGCAATGAATCACCAAATAGGGGAAAATATTAGCTTCAACCTGGAGACAATCTATTTACTCATTTAAAGTGTGAATTCAGGGTTAAAGCACTGCCCATAACTCTTCAGCCTAAGCTGGGAATACTTTTAAGATGGAGATCTTCCTGTTTCTTGGAGCGCCATATTCTACCCAACACAGTTGTGACTACTGGAATATGCCCCTTAACTTGGGTCAAAGCCTCAGCCCTCATTCCATCAATACATCATATCCCATTTTCATATGATAATAATACCTTACATTTATTGAATTCTTGCTGCATGCAGGTACCATGCTAAATGTTTTGAGTGCACCACCTCATTCTACCCTCATAACAACTGTGGGAAGCAAGTTGTGTTTTTACTCTTAAATGTTTTCATTTTTATAAAAAAAAATTGTTAGCTTTCTTGTAAAACAAAACAAAAACAAAAACAAAAAAAGCATCTGAGTATATCTCTTCAAAGAGTTTCTGTGACCCAGCCATCTGCTTGCATTACAGCAAGCTAGATCTCCATCTCTGCTTCAGCTTCTCCAAAACATCCCGTGAAGTGTAATGCTTAAGGATGCAAGGGTGAAGAAAATTCATAATCTTGATCACTTTCCCGAAACATAATGTAATGAACCCCACTTGCAAAGTTCACAGCACAGATTCTCCTGATGCAGTGGAAATTGAGCTCGCTTTATTTATTTTTAATTTAAATGGACTATTGAGATCTCCTATTGTATTTCCTTTATAATAGGCACATGATCTGTGACCAGTGATCTCTGTTTTCTGCATCGAGACTAACTTCTTAACTTTCTTGCTAGCAATGACTATTTTTTACTAGTTCAAATATGTAGTTGATTGGGACTTAACGTTATTATTCTTGTTATTTCTAAAATGCCTAGTTTCTTCATGTGGTTTATAGTACATGGATGAGACACAGATTAAACAGCTTTCTATTTCCAATCAGACTCAGATTCACAAAACACAAAGGTAAAAGCATTCAGATTTGTAAGTATTTTTCTGCATATATTTATTTTGCATTCCTCTGATGTACGATTGCATAATATAGATTCATGAGAAAGGAACACGTACGATAAATGTAGGGTTTAAGAAACTCCAATGATTTCAAATTAGCATAACTTCACTCAACCACTGAGAGCACACTATTTGAAATATTTTATGTTGGCACCAGTTTCTCTGTATTTCTTTTTTTTTAATTTTTAATCTGAAATTTATTGTCAAATTGGTTTCCATACAACACCCAGTGCTCATCCCAACATCTCTGTATTTCTTTATTACTGGATCTCATTACTTGATTTTTATTTATTTATTTATTTTTAATCTTATTTTTATTTTTTGGAGAGAGAGCACATGAGCCCGGCACGGGGCTCCATCTCAGGGCCCTGGGATCATGACTCTGATCCAAATCAAGAGTTGGACGCTCAACCGACTGAGCCATCCAGGCTCCCCTCATCACTGGGGATGAACAAATATATCTGAACAAATATATCTAAACAAC